AATTTATTGTAGTAATGTTATTAAAAATTTTGCGAGCGTCATAATTTCTAATTTTGCACAAAGGATGTATAATTGAATTTCAAATTTTAGTATATTGTTGTGCTATTTATTAAGTTCTATATATGTGGTAGTACTCCTTTCTTAGTAAAGGAGGCGGGTCATTACACTCTCTCTACAAAGAAACTCTATTTAGGAAACTGTATTTAGGGTTTCCTTAAATACTTTTCTTTCCAAATGTCCGATCTATTTCTTTCAAATCTAGGTCGTTCATCGCACCTCTTTATTTAGGTCGTTAGATCAGCATCCAGATACTCGATGCAATCATGACCGTTTATTTCTTTGCATTTCTTGATCGCTAAATCAAATAGATCTCAGTTGTTCATTTTACGTGGATAAAATAACCTTACGTGATTGGCAAGCTTTGATGCCTTAACTATTGAGGTGTCAAAACGTCTTGAAATTTTTTATATTTTTAATTTCAGAAAATCCTTAAAATTTTAATTTTTTTTCATTTCAGCTCTTAAAGTCTTATTTATGTAAATTTGGTTTTAATTTAATTTATAAATTTATTTATTTTTACATTTATTAATTTGCGAGTATTACAATATTATTCTTAAATTTGTTTCAAATATTATTTATTAATTTTTATTCATTTTATTTGATATAAATATTAATTTTTAACAATAATTATTTAAATTTAAAAATAAAATATTTAAAAAATTTATAATAATGAAAATGATTAATATTATATTTTTAAGTATATCAAATTAATAAAGTACATATTTTATGAAATGCTTGTTCAAAATACTATTTATCTCCTAGAATATAAGGTTTTCTTTATGTCAATTTTTTGTTTTGACTTTTACGGTAGTAATTTGCAATATAAACGGTTAAGACATATTTTTCAAAATGCTTAAATATAAAAATTAAAATTTCTAATTTTTAGAAAATAATTTTAATTTTTGATAAAAAATTATACTTTAAATGTAAAAAGTTATTTTTACTAAATATATAATGTCAAAACTAATAACACTCTTTAATGAATAGTTATTTTAGTAAAATTTTAAAAATAAATAACACAAAATAAAGTTATCCTTATGCCCATTAATCATGAATCTTAAGTATAAATTCACATTTTCTGATTTTGACAAAAAAAAAAAGCATATAATGATTTTATTTAAAAATATTTTTATTTTTTATTTAATTAATACTTATATTTTTTGATAATAAAATTATATGTCGGAGCTGAATAAATAAATATATATTTTATCTTACAATTATATTTGTCAAAAAATATTTACAATAAATTAAGCTACTTAGAGGACAAGTAACAAATGAGTAGATATGATTATTGGAGTGGTTGACCATCTACCCAAATTTAACCCACTATACATGAAACTGAGTAAAAATATGTGATTAATATGATATAGTACGGGTGTAGATAAAGAGTTATAATTTCAAAATATGTGTAGGATCGATATGAATTTAATGATTTACTTACTCAGTACCTCCAACCGTATTAACTCACTATATATATTTATATAAGTAATAAGTTTTTAAATTAATTTTTAGTTTTACTTAAATTTCATTAAATTAACAAATATTTAATATTAATATTTTATTTTATTTTTTTAATGAATAATATATGCTTTATCGTGACCTAACCATTAAGGTGACGTGACATGTCTACTATTTCGCTACCAAGATATTTTATTTAAATATTATAAATTATAATTTTATTTTGATTAATATTTAAGAATTTTTACTTAATATATTTTAAATATTTTATCCAATAACAAGTGAAAAATAAGTTACCTACCCTATGTTTATCCCTAATAGATAGATTATGAAAATAATGTTGTTGTTATTATTATTTTTTTTAAAAATTATTTTTAATTATATTTTACAGAAATAAAAAAATTAAAGGATGTGTACAAAACAAAATATAAGAGATTAAAAAAATAAAAATAAGTTATCAAAATTTTTAGATTCATTTAATTAATTAAGAATGTCACGAATAATTGCGTACTCAATGTTTTATATTGTAGTAAATAAATTATCAGTAATAATATTTAAACTATCTAAATTAACTCTAATTCCATATGACACACAATATGATATTTATTTATCACATAATGAAAAAAAATTAATATTTTTTATATTTAAAGAATAATCAAAATAATTTTTTATCATATCATTACACTAAATTACTAAAATTGTCAATAGCTAAAACCTGCAAATAATATCAATTTATTATTTATTATACCCTAACTTCAATATTTATAAACTAAAATTATTTTTTGATTTTAATACTTTATTTAACAACTAAAATTAGTTTATTTTAAGATTTTTTTTTTTATAAAAAAACTAAGTATTAGTATTTTTTAATTTTTAAAAAATAAAATAATATATTTAAGTAAGTGGTTAAATTATTTCTTCTCTGCCCCTCTCAGCGAGCCTTCTTTCTCTTCATGTTGCAGCCATCATTCCCTTAAATTTCTCTTCTTCTTCGTTGCCTCTTCCCAAACTCGTTGTCAGCATCTTGGTCTCTTGGTCACAGAGACCACTCGATTTCCTTCTGAAACTAGCTTTTTCACCTCTCTTAATCGTTTCGCGAACTTCTGGTTTATGTAGGGTTGTATACAGAGATTGCAACGGCAGAAAACCCCATCGAATTTTCCTCTACGATTGCACTTCAGGTTGCGTTGAAACAACTGCTTCGGTTTTTCTTCAACTAGGTAATGCATGTCTCGCCTAGTCATACTTTGATTAATATATTCGTCCGTTTTGTACTTTTGTTATGTGGCTGTGGATTAAGTTTAGACCTCTGATGGGTTTCCATAGTTCTATGTTCCTTGATTTCACTTATTATTTGCGGTTTTCACTGTTTGTTATGAGTACTTGATTTCGTTATTTTCTTGTCAAAGTTTCTTATCTTTTCTTAGTTTTCCCTTCCTTGTTTTCTTTTCTTCTACTTTTTATTATGTTTATTCTTTACAAAGATTTTCCCATATATTTCGCTGATTTAAGAGAAACAAAAACATACACGTTTCCCTTATGTTTTCTGCTGGGAAGGATAATGACTTGAAGGTAGGTTTCTTAGTTTTTGAAGACTGAAGTTATAAAATCTTTGTTCTTTTCCATTTCTTTTAATTGAAAACATTTTTTCATTATCTTTGTAAAAGATATATGCGTGTTTGCTACTGGAGGGTTTGCCTATGGTATGATTTCTTTTCTAATATTTCTCGGTTATGCTCGAGTTGTCACGTGAGTATTGAAGAGATGAATGAATCTAATTTTGTTATCCTGTCTATTGTAGATTTTTGCTTTATATCTTTGTTTCTCTTGGACTTTTAGGGTTTGATTTTTACAGCTTAGAATAAGGAGTTTAAAAGAGGCTTCTGATTTGTGAAGGTGAGAAAAATATAATGGAAAGTAGCGCAGGATAGACAGCAGCTTTTCACTTAATTTCCTTATGGGTTATTGTGTAATTTAGATTTTTCTATCTAAAATAACATGTTATGGCTAACAAATGGTGCCATTTGAAAGTTTATGAGGGTAGAAGGTTGAAATTGGCAAATTGAGACAATAGTAAAAGTTTGTGGTGTTTTTTATTACTTCCCCAAGAAAAATGGTCTTAGAGATAATTTAGACAACTCACTGGTATAAAGAGCTGTTTGTTTATCTGGTGCTGGTTGGTTTGCCCACAAGCTGAATATAATAGGATTCTTAAGTAGTTAAATGCTGTGTAGTTTCACTATTCATGATGTTCGAGGCATTATATAGTCTTCTCGGGAGTTGCATAGAAATGGCAGGAGGAGGGAAATAAAGGAAATATTTCTTTAAGTTATAAAGGTATCCGAAGAGACCCAAGTTATGATGCTTTTATGGTGGTATAATCTCTTGATTAAGTATTAGTATTTGATTATGGATATCATAGTTCATGGTTCAAGGTAAGCAACTATTTGATATGTGGTGATAAATTGTGATATGAAAGCACAGGATCAAAATGAAGCAATCAAAGGATCCATTTGAGGCAGCATTGGAAGAGGAAGAGGAATCGCTGGCAGGTTCCCCACGAGCTGGTGAAGAGTTACAGGCACAAACTCCTGCAGGACAGGACATCACAAGTGGGCAAGAAGATGACAATGTTGGATCTGCTATGAACAATTCTTTTGACCCATCTTCATCTACACGGTTTTCAATCTCCAAAGCTCCAGTGGGGAAAACCAAAGATGAGGATGACGAGGAAGAAGAGGAGAACATGGATGTTGAGTTTGGAAAATTATCTTCCAGTGCTGATCCCACTAAGATGGCCAAAATGCAGTAAGTGCAATATTTTTTAAGAAAATATTAAAAAAATCGATGTTTCATTCAGTTTTTTCCTCGCATAATTTCACTATTCCTTTCTAATATTGAGTGGAAAATAATAAAAGAGGAAAATCAGTTGTTGTTACTGCTAATGACAACGAAATCTGATGAAAGAAGTTTTTAGGTTTTTTCTTTTCCATATTGTTGTTATTCTAGCAATCTTGGTGCATGCTCGACTACCAGATTGGTTTAAATTCTTAGTTAATGTGCTTGATATATTTAAAAAAAAAATACAATAAAAAAATCTTAGTTAATGTGGTTGATTCTGTCATTAATCTTGGCATTAGAATAATATATTTTTAGGTGTCATTCTTGTTGTGTTTGGTTCTTCTATAGCTTCAACATAAAATCAGGTGAAATCTTTAACTAAGGCGTCTGCTAACTTAAAAGAGTTGAACTTTGGAGGTTTTTTGTTGAACGACCTCTGCTCACAATAGACAAGCCACCAACTCTATTAAAGTTGTTCTTGCTTATCATGCTCAGCAATTCGTCCATTATTTGACTCTGTTTTGCCATAAGTTCCTCTAGAATCTTCAATGTTAATGATTGAGATCTACTTTCTTATGGAGATTACAATTGTATGAAGTTGCAAGCTTCTGAAGTGCAAGTCCCTGCTTTACCTTTGCTGATGCTTTATCACTTTAAAATCCAAGGTCATGTTTCACTAAGTGGAGTAGAATGTTACAGAATAAGAAGATTCTACTTTGAAGCAGATTTTGTGTTAAAGAAGGTTTTTTTGGATAATATCAAAAAACACCATCATACTTGTACATTTTTATCAAATTTCATATTACATTTTTAATTGTATTTTTATCAAATTTCATATTACATTTTTAATTGTATCAATATAAGTCTTAATCTATTAGAACATATCAAATCACTTCTTTTGTTAATAAGTTTTGTTAGAATTAACATAGCTTTATTATTTACAAGTTAAATAAAAATATTATTCAAATAAAAAACATGAATAGTATCAGATAAAAAAGGGAGAGAATAAAATTGTGAGGAAAAATAAGAGAAATGTGTATGCTATTTTTTTACTTTGATAATATTTTTATTTAATTAGTAAACTAGAGTTTTGTAAATTTTATAAGAAATTATTAGTAAAAGGGGCAATTTAATATACTGTGATAGTGTAAAGTGGACATTAATATGACTACAAATATAATATCCAATTTGATTCAAATGTAAAAGTGCGAGGATACTTTTTGGTATTGTCCCATTTTTTTATACTTTGTTGTTAATGGTCTTTAGCTTTTTTAGGTAGATTTTAGTTATTAGAAACTTAGGTTATTTAGGTATATTGTAAGAGAAACTTATGCTTTCTCTTTTATTGTCCTAATAATTTTTTGTTATTTACTATTTGCTTTATTAGTTGTAACTTATATAAAGGCAAGTAGTATCAAAAGGGAGAAGACAATGATGACGAGCTAAGAATTCTTTGTCCCTCTTTTTGTGTTCGTTCTTCTAGTTACTGTTCTGAGTAGCCTCTTTTATTTAGTTTTATTTCTTTCTCTATGCTTTTTCACTTTGATCAACATTCTCTGGGCTACTAGTCTCTATGTTTTTTTGCTTTGATCAATATTTTGATACCATACAAAATGTTTTCATTGGCCATTAATCCTACATCAACTACACTCTAATGAATGTTCTTCCTTTTCTTCTTGCACATCTGAATGACTGTCTTCTCTTTCAGGGCTATTTTATCACAGTTCACAGAGGAACAAATGAGTAGATATGAATCTTTTCGAAGGTCTGCACTTCAGAAGTCTAACATGAGAAGAGTATGCTTATCTTGTTATACACCTTTCTGTATTATATCTTGCAACTGGGCCTGCCTTGGAGCTGATTATACTAAACCCAACAATTAAACTTCCCACACCCCACACACCCCCCTCTTTCGGATGGTGGGTGGGATGAGGTGCACACTTTTCTTTATCTTCTCTCCTTGTTGCCATGCTTAGACTGGTTGACTTGTTTGATGCTTGCATAGGGGAGGAAATATGTTTATAAATAGGCTTTTCTTGCAGTCTTGTACTAAAAGAAAGAAAAATCTTGTAGTTTTTAGTTTCCTCAGGCTTATATAAGTTGATTTTATAGAATATGCTGTTCCTCATAGGATCCTTAGTTTCCTCAGGCTCAGAAAGTTGGTTAAGCTTGCTCAATGACTCCGGTGCAGGCTTTTTAGATGTCATTTGTACATTTCTGTACATTTATGGTTTCGTTGCTATTATGTTTCCAATGCAGTTGTTGGTAAGCATCACTGGAAGTCAGAAGATCTCTTTACCAATGACGATTGTTGTGTGTGGAATTGCAAAAATGTTTGTTGGTGAACTTGTTGAAACCGGTACACGTTCTTCTCTATAACTAAATTTTTGCATTATAACTTATAATGTCTTTTGAAATAAAAATGGTAGTTTATATCTCAGTGATTTTCGGAAAGAATTTTTAGTTCACTATAGGGACAGAAAAACAATTGGCAAGAATTATTTTGTTATATGAGTGATCTTGTCTTCTACTTTGCAGCTCGAATAGTTATGAGGGAGAGGACAGAATCTGGACCAATCAGGCCTTGTCATATCAGAGAAGCCTACAGAAGGCTAAAACTTGAAGGGAAAGTAGCAAGAAGATCAATGCCAAGACTTTTTCGGTAAATCGATAGAAAGAAGGATTCTGGAGAATTATGCCTACTTGATCTCTGATAGTTTTTAATTGGGAGGCATGGTGGGTGATTGAACCTGTAAGATGAAATCTCAAGTAAGGCCTTGAGGAGGCAGTCAGTCTCTCTGTAAAGTTGTGCATTTTTGTTGTCAAATAGAAGAATTCAAGAAGAGGTTTGTATTGAACAGGTGTATAATTAGATGATTTCACCAGAGAAGTTAAACCAGATGCTTGCAAGCTCGATTTATTCTTGACCAAAGCACTTTCAGTTGATAAGAGATTTCCTTCTTACTTTTTTTGCTTTTCGTGGTGATCGTGCTAGGATTACATCTTTCCTGATCTATCTTAAATGATTAATAGGACTTATTTGTCAAAGTACTGGCTCATGGGTCAGTGTTAGCCGAGGGTTTAGAGAGGGAACGCAGAAAAAGAATGAGAGTGACAGGGAGAAAAGAGAGAAGCAGATAGAACAGAAGAGGATAGAAGGAAAAGATAAGGTAATTTTGATAATTCTTCACTGATTTCGTTACATATTTAGCATACATTTGTATAGAATACAGCACTCAATCAAAGGGGGCCAATAATAGTAGTACTTCTGAGGCAAAGCACAACTGTTGCCTTTTCTTCTTAGTATGCTAGTACAAAACAGAAAATTAGAAGGATTCTCAGGAAAACCCTAACAGAAAACTAAGATTTAAGGTTATTCCATTCCTGCCAAACACTATTTCCTAACATCATCTGAGAGAACTTATCAAGTTCGCAAACAAGAATCAAAAGAAGCTTCTGGCAATCTTTTGAAGATTATCAATTGTCTCCGCAAATTTCCAGGAAAATAAAGTAACAGGAAACTTACCTTCTATTAGAATGTCATTGGGCAGATACATCTGCCTCTATACTGGCCTTGTTTAAGAAAATTCTTTATCTGTATCCACTTTATACGCATGGTCAATATTTTTTTGTTTTTACCTACTTTTGTATGTCTCTATCCATCTTCCATCTCACTTAGTTTATTTCGTTTATTTGGCTATTTATTTACAATAGATTCATAAAAATTATTTAACATTTAATAAATATTAAAAATAAATTTAATTGGTATTGAAAATAAAAACATTTAAAATTTAAATATAAACTTAATAATGATTCAAATATACTATTTTAACTTTAATACTCTTGTATCGTATATAACTATAAAAATAAAAAACTTAAAACGAATTGAGCTGAGAGAGAACATGTACATAACATGTATAAATTTTTTTTATACATGTTGTTTACTTATTATGTAAAAGCCCAAAATTTCGAACAGAGATTTCAAGAGTTTTGGCCCAATCATGATAAAGATAATACTAATAACAATCATAATAATACCTGTAGCACCCGGAAAGGAGGAAAAAAAAAAAAAAAAAAAAAAAAAGGGGGCCACGTCAGCAGCCACGTCAGCAGGCCCGGTCAGCAGTCCCGGCCAACCGGGGCCTGCCACGTGGCAAGACCGCGTCACTCCGAAAGGAGCCACGTTGGCGATCCGCGTGAGTGCGATCCGACGGCCCAGATCAATCGCGCGATCGGACGGCCCAGATTCAATCGCACGGACGGCCCAGATTCAATCAAAAACGAATGGCCCAGATTAAAACGAAATGAACGGCTGTGATCAAAAGGCAAGGGGTTATAAATAGAACCCCCACACCAGACCACAAACCCTAGCCGCCCGCCGCTCGCCGGAGAAGACGAACCAGAGGCCGACCGCCGCCACCCGCCGCCGCACCGGGGAAATTTCCGACCGCCGATCGAGGTAAATTTCATACCCCCGACTCGTTTTTCTCCGCTGATTCCTCCTATGGCCAAATTGAGGCCGAAATCCCGGCCAAACGGCCGGAATACGCGGCCGAAACCCAGCGGCGCCGCCGCGCCCCTCTTGGTTTTTGCCTCCGACGAGATCCTTCCCGGCCTCCGTTCGATGCAATTTTTATATCACCGTGATCACCATTCTTTTCTCTACAGGTTGACCGAAGCCGAATCACCAAAACACGAACCTTGCTGGAGAGCCGCCGTACCCGAGAGCGCCGCCGCCGGTAAGCTCCGCTTTTCCGTGATTTTTGGCCCCCCGGGGGCCCTAGGGTTGTTTTCTGACAAGGACCAATGCGAGTGTGGCCGAATTCGGCCGAAAACGGCCGAAAACAGCCAACCCGAGGCGACTCGCCGCCGCCAGCGGCGGCGCCGTCGCCGGAGCACGGCGGAGCCGCCGTGCCGGAGTTGCGATTTGGTTCGAAAGGGGCCCTGGGCCTAATTTGGATTTTGTTGGAACACGTGCAGGTACTGTTAGTGTGTTTCAGTTCCCCGGGAAAAATTCAGGAAAAATTAGGGACGGCCTGCAGGCGCACTGTGAATCGTATTCGGATCCCGAAAACAAGTAAGGACCCCTCACCCTATTTCCTATCACGGTATTAAAGTTCAAAATGATAAAAACGGTATTTCTTGAATTAACGCATGTGTGAAATTGCTTAAGGTTGCTAATGGAGCCCGAGTCTAGTGTGATTGATGATTTACTGTTATTTGGCCTGTTTTACACTGTTTTACAGCTTTAAATGTATTATGGGGTTTGATGTGTTCATTTTATAGTTTCGAATGCATATATTACTGTTTTATTGATTATAGGTTGAATGACTGAAGAACTGATACTGTATGTTGTCTGTTCGGCATGAATTACGATTTGCTTGTTTAAATGTGAATTGATGATGCTTATTGAGGAAAAAGGGAAATGAAACATTGTATAGACTGATAATTGTATGATGGGGTCAGCCTGACTAGATATCCTGGGAGATGGTGGACGGACCGGGTCCGTAGGGAAACCTACCGGGATTGTGGTCTCACATGCCGGACGGGGTATGGAGATCTTATGGTTTTGGCGCCCATACCGGACGGGGTATGGGGACGGCCCGTTTCACCCTCATACCGGACGGGGTATTGAGG